GCCGAGCAGCCGACCGGTCAGCGGGTCGCCAGCCAACCAGTCAAGGGTCGCCGATGGTCAGGGTGTGCAACACTGGTGTATAGTGAATATGGCAACACACACATACACTATTACACAGGTGCCATGCGGCATTCGTCATACCACGTGGACTCGACGGCAGCAACACACAGATGGCTACAAAAAGAAAAAAGGAAAGCAACACAGGCCTCGGCAGCCCTGGTGTGCGGCATTCAACAACCCCCCGCACTGCACAGAAAGAAAGGTTCTCGCTCAAACGAAAGCGGCCCTCGATAGGTGCCCAGAAAAGAAAGTTCCGAAAATCTGCGCTCAAACAACGCGCGGCCCTGTATATCTCCTGTCACCACCTCAAAAGCAAAATAAAATTCACTCAAACGTGTTGCGGCCCTCAATACCCCCCTGCTCCGGTCCAAAGAAAAAACTTTTGCTCAGATGATGCACAGCCCTCGATACTCCGCCGTGCTCCCCCACTCTCCCCCCCTCAAAATGAAAGGTCGCTCAAAGGACGCATGGCCCTCGATACACCGCTGTGCTGCCCAAAAAAGAAAAAACACGTGTTGTCCACCCGAATCGATGTGCCCTATTGGGCCCCGCTTCCACCTCTCTCCCTGGTGTGGAGTGGGTCCATCATACTTAAGAGATAGAGATAAATGACAATGATGAATGGAAGTGTGACAATGAATGTGTGATTACACTCCCTCTTACTGCCAGCCTCATAAAGAGAGCCCTCCCTTTGATTTCCTATGCCTCCTTACAACCTCGGAATGGCATCTGGCTATGGAGGCACATCCAAGCCCGGCTCAGATGTTCAAAGGACGAACACAAACTATGTAGCGGTTTGAATGCCCAGAACGCGTGTTCGCGTTCAGACGAGCCCGCTCAAACCTCCGCGTGGCGTGTTCAAACGCATTCAAACGCACCACGTGGTGGGGAGTGGGATAAAACTTAACACGCGCCCCTGGCGGTGCACGGTTGTAGTTCAAAAAAATGAAATAAAATACTCCTTTGACCAGGTAAGTTAGGATCAAGGTGAAGCGATTTGGACAAACGAAAATTCAATTGGACAATCATCAAACCGAATTGGTCAGTTCGATTTCCCTATCTAGTACATTATCGGAACCGATTTGGACAGCCGAGATAGGTTGGGAGAAGTGATGAGCATTTTGGACATATCAGATTTAGGTTGGGAGAAACGATGAGCATTTTGGACATATTGGATATAGGTTGGACTATGCAGCCCTGTCGCAGCGCTTCTTCTGGAAGGAGACGAGGAGTGACATGCTGCACTTTGTGGAAACCTGTGAGTTATGCCAAAGGAACAAGGTAGTACGACGACCTCCCCTTGGCCTACTCAAACGACTACCCATCCTTGAGGCACCTGCACAGTCAGTGTCTATTGACTTTACTGACTTGGGTAGGACCACACCTCGTGGTATGCGTCAGGTTATGGTGTGCGTGGATCGGTTCTCCAAATATGCAGAGTTCATCCCCTTGCCAGCTGAAGCTCACGTTCCAGCCGTTTAGGCGGCATTTGCTGACAGGTGGGTCACACATTATGGACCACCCACCTCTATAGTCAGTGACCGAGATCCTCGTTTTTGCAACAATGAATGGCAATCCTACTGCAGGGATTACTTTCATTCCAGACTGGATATGACATCTGGTCGTCATCCTGAAGCCAATGGACAGGCTGAAGTGATGAACCAGATTATATTTCAGTTGCTGCGTCCAATGATCAGTTCGGATCAGGAGGACTGCCATCTCCATTTGGGTCGTGCACAACTTGTATATAACACGCCTGTACACTCCTGTATTGGCTTTACACCCTACCGGTTACACTGGGGTCGTGAGCCACGGCAGCCTCTCGATGACATCATCGATAAGGCTACCCCTACGCTGACACCTGGAACTATAAAGTTAACCAGGCGTTACGGTGTGGACATAGAGCGCGCTCGTGCCAACCTTCTGGAAGCGCAAAAGGCTATGATTCAGCAGGCTAACAAGCACAGACGTCCTTCTACCATTCGCACAGGTGACTGGGTGTGGGTACTCAGTTCTGAGTTGTTGCGAGAGGAGGATATTTCGCCTAAGCTGCTGCCACGATACATGGGTCCATGGCAGGTCTTAGATACAGTGGGAGTTGATCCATTTGGACCATCCTATAGAGTGGATGTCCCTCTACATCTACAAACCTACCCTGTCTTCCATGCATCTAAGCTGTTGCCGTCCACGTCAGCTGATGCATTCCCAGATAGACCTCCTCAGTTCGGTCCCCCTATCCCTGGCAAAGGATATGAGGTGGAATCTGTGGAGGATGAGTCAGGTACAGGTCCAGATAAGGAGTACCTTGTGAAGTTCTTATACCAGCCGCATACTGAAGATCGCTGGTTTAATTGCGAGGAACTTATGAAGACTGCAAAGTCTGTCATTCTCATATATGAGGCAGCACACGCCTACGCCCCTAGCTCGGAGGTTCTCGCTCCGGGGGAGGGTAGGTCTACAATGACTTGCTGTTTTCTGGTCGCCTGTAGCCTCTCTCTGTCGAGGCTGTACTATAGGTAGGATAGATTCATACTTTTGTTTGGCTGAGGGCTAACCGAGTGACCTGCCTGTAAGGAAAATTCGTGAGGGACATATTTGTAAACACGGGAAAATACAGGCCCGTACTAACTGAATTTCCTACAGCTAACCTAACTGCGAGTAGCAGGCCCGGGCTACCCCTAGGACAGACAGGCCCTAAAGGCCTATGCTGATAGACGGTCCTATAGCCTATAGCCGGGTAAGGTAGAGGCCGAGAGGCCGAAACTGAATCGGTACCGGTCAGTCAGTCAGTCCGGTCTAGGTCGAGTCTAGGCTAGTTTTAGTCTATAGATAGGATGGGCACATCGGTTCAGGGCTTTTGGCAGTTGGTACCAAGTACATCGCTTCTGCGCTACGCGTAAGCCGGAAGTGGTGACGGTTCAGTGTTGTGGGAGACAGACATAGCCAGACCTTCGGAGCGCCGGCCATAGCTGGGACCTGCGCTGTACTCTGCCAGCATGCGGGGCTGTCAGGGGTCTGGGCTATTGAGGTCTGCTGGAGGTGAGAGAAGTTGGTGCCCTGCTGGACCCTCCTCCGGAATGGGGTTCCGGGGTGGTGGCGCTGCATTCCTCAGAGGTCATCTTGTCAGGGTTTGGTGGCGCTGCTGCAGACTTTCATCCGGGAAGTCTTTCGACACTACGTCATCATCAGATACTGTGGCGCTGGTCTTCTTCTTCATCCTCTGAGTGGCGCTTGGCCTCAGAGGCCTGTTTCAGGGTGGCGCTTCCCTTTGGAGGCTGTATCTGGGTGGCGCTTGATGTTTCAGGGGCTCAGGGGTGTCACGAGTGGTTACTCAGGGTCGGGGAGTGAAGCGCTGCTCATTTCTGAGCAGCGCACTGTAGTATTGAGGTTATCCTGACAATTCGAGACTCTGAGTTTAATAAACAGTGTGATACTGGGTTTGGACTATCATCGTTTCATTGTTTCCTGGATGTGATCTACTCGGCTTTTCTTTATGACTGCTTGTGAGGATTGAGTGGAGTGAATTGCACTTTCAGTGTACCCTGTCATATCGCATGGTCAAGTATTCCGCTGTGTTTATCTCTCCCTGTGCGGTGTGATACTCCTATCCTCTCCCCTTGCTTCTGTGTATGTATGGGCATACCTGGAAGTGAGTGTTGGTCTTCAGACAGCAAACAACCAGAATCAGAACAGGGGACTCTGGGGAGCATCTTCCAAGACCCAAGAGTTGTAGTAGAGTAGAAGTAGATTAAAGTGGTAGTAATACTGTAGTATGTAATAATGTAAGTGTAAAGCTATTGCATGGTGGAGTCAGGTGAACTAAGAAATCGCCAGGTCCAATTGTTGAAAACAATAACTACATATAACTCTGGCGAGCTTCGAGTTATAGCGCCTTACCATTATTAATAGCATCCAACCATCCAGGCAACGGAAAATTTGCACCAGCATTTAAAGCAGGGCTTTGATTAGAGGAAAGCAAAACATCAAATCCATAAAGTGTTTGGACAACGTTTTCTTAGAAATTGCAGGAATCTCAGACAACGATTTGTGCGGGTCATTGGAATTTGCTTTCACATTTCCATTCTCTCATTGTTTGAAGCAGTGGCCAGTAAACGCCCAGCAATTTTCATGGTGTGAGTGATTGAATCTTGACAAGTCGTTGTTTGGTGTTATGTTTCAGCAAATATCGAGATGCTTCTAAGATTTTTCGGCACGTGGGCTATTGTTCTTTCCGTATTGGAATCAGCATTGTGAGCATGAGTATTGGTCTCAACACGGTGCTTTCCATTTGCCGAGTCCTGCTGCTGGCACATTCCAGTCAATGTGATGTGGTATACACAGGACAAAAAGATTGTGATTGGTGGGCACGGGGGCACGATATTTTGTATCTCTGGGGAAAATGAATTCGCCCCTCTGGATGAATCAAAATCTGTATGTCCTTCTCCAGATGTGTGCTTCTTTCAGCCTACGAGCAAGGTTGATAAGTGTGCATCTCTCATCCTATGCCCAAGGTTCATCTTTTTGTTTGTTTCCATCTTTTTTTTACTCCTTCCAAAGCCTCTGCGGAGTTTTGGTATTGGGTATTCTTTTCAGTGCTGTGGGCGGAGTTTTGGTATTTGGTATTCTTTTCAGTGATGTGGCTGATATGGTTCATTCTGTGCGGTTGGTTTTGCAGCGCTTTGTGGACAGCTCCAAGTTGAAGAGACACTTCTTGATTCACACTGGCGAAAAACACTTTGTTTGTCCATTTGAAGGCTGTGGAAAGGTAGATGCCCCCTTTGGTTTCTCCATTCTTCTATCTATATCTGTTTTGTGTTGTTTTATCTTGTCTCTTATGATTGATACTAGCTCCTACCCAAGCTGAGTAAGATGATCTGTACACTACAGAAATCGTTAACTCAACAATAGGGGGATCCAGGTCGTTCCAGGGCCTACCGGCCCACAGTCCATATCAGCGCAACAATCAAACAAATCTGGGATCTGGGCCGTAGGGGCCTACTGGATCGATGGCCCCTATGAATGCATCATCTTGCAATTTTAAGATCACACATCAATCCAGGCTGTCAGGTCCTACCGCTGGATGATGATCAGCGGGTCGGCACTGTGCGCAACACTGGCTTCAACCGTATGACGATCAACGGGCCGGTACCGCATGCGACACTGGCCTGAACCGTGCATCTGACCTTGTACCGCACGGCTTTCAATTTTCGGTTGAAGACACAAGTGCCTACGGTCCATTTTCTGTTGGCCGTGGCCATTGGCCAACGAATAGTTTTTGGAGGACGACGCGAAAAAAAAAAAAAACAGCTTGGAGCAGGACTGCTAGATTCTATGGTAGACTCGACTCTTCTATGCTACTCTATGCTTCACTTGCCTCGGTACTCAGACGGCTCAAGAAAAAGAAACTCTACTCTCTCCTACGCTAGCCTTGCTACTTGGATGGCATTAATAAGGAATTTCTACTCTGCGCTATGCGTGCCTCGCTACTCCGAGTCCACGCACACGCACACCCACACACACACACGAGAGATGGTTGACTGAGGGCCCAAAATTTGCCGTTTTCACCGACAAGTTTGGTGCAAAATTCAGCAAAATTTTCAAAAACAAACGATATGGGCCCATAGTGCAAACATAAAAAAAATAATAATAAAAAAAAATTAAAAAAAACAGGGCAAACAAAACGAAAAAAAAAAAGAAAACACCATAAAACCCTAACACAAAAACTTTTTCTGAGTTAAAATGAAGCGTCCAATGAATTCACATGCCAGCTTTTTCATTATTGATCCAAACATGTCAAAACTGGACACATGACGTACCCTAAAGCACGTACATATCACAAAAAAGAAAAACAAGGAAAAAAACAAAAATCGGCACGATATGACAGTTTCGGTGGGAAATTCACAACACCCTCGGTTAACCACCTGTGACACACACACACACACACACACACACACACACACACACACACACACACACACACACACACACACACACGCACTATTCACACTCGCCCCGATGTCAGCTCGACCTAAGTGGAGTACATGCATCACTCTCTGCCCAATACCTCTCAACCTCCTCTCAACCTCCACCGAACCTCCTCCCTTCTCCCACTCAAACCTACTCCCTTCACCCTCCCTCCCCATGCCCAACCTCTGCCCAACCTCCTCCCTCCCTCCACCCGACTTCTTTCCTCCGCCCTCCCTCTCTTGACCTGCTTCCTCCCTCCTCCCTCTGTATGCCAGACCACCTCCCTCCCTCCACCCAACCTCCCCTCCACCTGACCTCCTCCCCCCCTGCACTCGACCTCCTTCATACTTCCGTCCACCTCTGCCCAAACTCCCGGACCTCCGCCCTCCCTCTGCCTGACCTCCATGCAACCTCTTTCCTCCCTCTGCCTGACCTCCACGCAACCTCCTTCCTCCCTCTGCCTGACCTCCCTCCCTCTGTCCGACATCCGCCTGACCTCCTCCGTCCCTCCGCCCAAGCTCCGCCCGACCTTCTCCCTCCCTCTGTTCCTCCGTTCTTCCAGCCCCACCTGACCTGTGCTCCCTGTTTCTGCCCTTGCTCCGTCCCACCTCTTTCCTCCCTCCTTCCTCTCTCCTTTCCCCTGCCTGACTTTCTCTCTCGCTGCCCTGCCTCCGTCTGAGCTCCTCCCTTTCCTCCCTCCTTCCTGCTCTCTTGTCCCTTCTTGCACCGGGCGTCCTCCTCCTTCCTCCGCCCACCACTTCCGCCCGACCTCTGCTCAACCCAACCTCCACTCAACCTCCTCCCTTGCCTTCCTCCGGCCGACCTCCTCCCTCCCCTTTCTCTGCCTGACATCCTCCCTCTTTCCTTCCTCCACCTGGCGTCCACTTTATCTTGTCCCTTTCTTCCTCCCTGTGCCCAATCTCCTCCCTCCCTTCTTCCTCCTCCTATCCTCCCTCCCTCTTTCCTCCCTCCTTCCTCCCTCCTCTGTCCTCCCTCTCTCCGCCCTCCCTCCACCCATCTTAACGCCTGACCTAGGAAGTGTATTTCGTTTTCTTTTTTGTCTGGTTGACATAAATGCTGCATTCCGTTTTTAGACCTCAAGGGCACGAGCGCGGTTGTGTGTGTGTGTGTGTGTGTGTGTGTGTGTGTGTGTGAGAGAGAGAGAGAGAGAGAGAGGGAGAGAGAGAGAGAGAGGCCAGTGCCTGCCACAGTGTGTGGGATCGTCTGCCTGCTGCCATCCAAGGAAGAGCTCTACTACGGAAAAGAAAAATGGTTTCAGCAAAACACTCAGGAACCCAAGCATCCCTTTTGCATCTTTTGTTCCCTGACCAGAAAAACAATTCTTTTCCGCATGCCAGACTGCCATGAATGTGCTTGTAACTTCTTTTGCTTTCGCAGGGGGAGCCGCAACAGGTCATGTAATTTAATTGGATACCCATAAGGCTGGTTTTGTGCAATTTGGTTGGGTTTAGTTGCAGTTTTTTTGTGCAGGCAAATGTCTGTGTAATATGTATGTATGAGGTGTTGTAACCAAAAGCATCCTGCAGTCCATATTACAGGTGATTCCAAAGTTGTGGGGTCAGGATTGGATTCGGGGGGAGAAGAACGGAAGGAGGAGATAACTGTTCGCAGCATCAAGGATGGAGATACAGGACTGGTAATGGAGGTTGTCACAGGCTGCTGATGTCCAGGGGAAATCTGTATCTCTTCTGCTGCACACTCTGCAACAACAGAGCATCTAATTGTCCATGGCTAATTCTGTCTTGACCCAGAATCAGGAGGTGAAACCTTGGGAAAGCAAATGTGTCAAAAATAGTGACCGAGCGTAGAGGCATGGCAGGTCAAACGGAAAGAAAGAAGACGGTGTTGGCGTCCGGGTACAAGGGGAGTTGGAGTGAAGACTGTGGAGAGTCTGGAGACCATAATGCAGGAGCAGCAGGATCCATGGCGTTCATATACTGTCAGATCAACATGCATTTGTATAGTCCTTTGACATCATGGTTGCATTCCTAGATTGTCAGATTGAGAAGTCGTACATATACTTCTCTCGAGATTGAAGTAGCATTCGCAGAGTTCTCAAACGAAAGGGCATAACCAATTCATTAGGGCGAGCCTCCTTTTGTATACACTTCACAGAGGAAGGAAGCAGATAGCGCCACCTGAATTAGCATAATGTGCTTGCAGTCTGATGGACAGCCAAGGGCATATGATAGTTCTCCTGAAGAGAATGTGCTATTAGCCTATTACTTGTTATGAAATTGAAAGATATTGTGCAGAAGTATGTTAGTTGGGTTGTTGCACCGTTCTCATGGTTCATCCAGACATCATCCTGCAGGCCGCCTTCTCTCTTTCTCATCCTCCTTCTCCCTCATTGCCCCCTCCCTCCCCCCTCCCCCTCTCTTCCCCTCCCCTCCTCGCCCGGCGAAAAGGAGAAAGAGCACCCACATATCTGCAAACAGACTCACACAGCATTCCTTGTTATCGAATCTGGACAGGAAAGGAATTCCATCGATGGGCCTCTGTAAACTCATGCAGATGATGCTTGCGTTGGTGGTGTGCCTGCAGGCGTTCTCGTTGGACTTTAATTTACGGTCTCACATGAGGACACACACTGGCGAGAATTACCATCCATGCCCCTATGCAGATTGTGGAAAGCGGTATGCTCACGAGTACAAGCTGAGGGCCCACATCAAGTCTCACCATGAGAAGGTATGTTGTCAATAGATAGTGATAGTGTGAAAACACGTAGTGCCTCCCTTTTTGTGTACGCAATGACTGCAATGGACCATGATGTGAGAAGCCAAAAAAATGGAGAAGTCCTTCAGGACATCCGTTAAAATTGGAACGGCACAGAGAAAATTGATTAGCATGGCCCTTGCGCAAGGATGACATGCATAAATCGAGAAATGGTCTTTAAAAAAAAAGCACAAAAAAGAAAAAAAAATTGAGCAGCAAGAACGAATTGCTTCAGGACTGACAATGCACCACACTTTGACACCACTCTCGGGCAAGATGACATGCGCACATGAAGAACACAAGTGAGATGTAACTCGAAGATAGTATCTGCCAATCAAATCAATTAGACAGAATTGTCTTTGTACAAGAAGTGCGGCTATGGCCACCAGCAATCTCTCACAGGTATCGCTCTCTTCCGCAACCTTACTGCTCTCGACCTCCAAGTCTCGCCTGTCTGAATACACCTCTAGAGTGTCTGTCTCCCTCATGTACCCTAGCTATGGTGTCCAGCGCTCAACAAACAGTGGACTTCGGAGCATCCCAAACAGCGCACAGCATAGTGTCCCGAAATAGCGCAGTAGCTCTTCCTCATGGACTCCCAAGTGAGCATGCATTGACGACTTCAACAACTGAACTTTTTACTTGCCGATTCGCCTTCCGGACTTCCTCTACCCGCTATGGGTCCGGTACCGTGCGGATGTTTGTCACTTCTGGAATTTTGCTGCTGACTTGACTGACTGACAAAAAGGGCCTAACGAATTCTACGGACTTCAGGTAGTCCTATGAATATCCATGATCTGATAGATCATTTTAACTCCCTCACTTTGGTCCTTGAACCTACAATTTCAGCTCGTCAAGGAAATCGGGGAGTAACTTGCTAGCACTATACAGATCTACCAAGTCAGCCTACGAACCTGCTCTCTGCCACCTGCTGCCTTACCCAAGCTTTTGCACCACCCTTTAGTACAGCACACTCAAAGACTACCTGAATATATTGTGGGATCCATTCTATAAACATAAAGGTCAGTATCTCTGCAATCCACACATCTATATTCTCATCTTTGTTGTTGTGAACCTTGTGATAAGGATAAGGGATTTTCATCTTGTACAATTTACACATCTATCAGTAAAGGTCATTATAGCTGTACATTGGGTATCTTTCAGTATCTCTGCAATCCACATATCTATACAATTTACAGTCATTATAGCTGTACATTGGGTATCTTTCAGTCTATATACACCTATAATGACCGTGCATTGTAGTCGGGGGAAGAAGGTAGGCATGTTGTCTAAGGAGTGCCTGCTGCTCATGGCGGTGCAGCTACTTAAGATGATATTGGAATGGGCAGGCTGACAATACCTATCTATCCATGCGGCCTCCTATCAACCGATGACCTACTACTTGATATCAATAGAAATGACGACGACCTCGACTGCAGCTCGATCCGGAAAAGAACAGCAAACAGGTAATTAAGGTCAGGCATGCATTCATACAAGGCTTAGGGTAGCGAGATACTTCACTTCCATGCTCACTGACGTTGGGAAGTCGCCTGATCAAGCTTGATCCAGGCTGCAGGTACGTGCTTGCTTGTCCCCCCTCTACCTTTCTTTTCCCCTGGCCAATCGCAGAAGATCTTTTTTTTTTTGTTTTGTTTTATCGCCGTCTTTTTCTCTAGATGGCTTTTGCCACCCACGTTGGGTCCTCCTCTCCAATGCCAGTTTCTCCCACTGTGCTGGCCACCTTCTCCATGCGGTGCTGCTTCTCCCTGCGCTGCCCCGTTGTTGTTTTTTTTCCAATTGTGGTGCTTATCTACTTCTCCCCTCCAGCACCTTTCTTCCACCGCATGCTGCTTCTTCTTAACTGCTCATCTTCTCTCCCACTGTGTGCCCAGTTCTCACTGTGGGCCCTTTCTCACTGTGTACCTTTTCTCACTGTGCGCCTTTTCTCACTATGTGCCTTTCTTCATCACACACGGCCTTTTCTTCACTGGGCACCTTTCTTCCTTGATGTGCGCCTTCTTCCTCACTGCGTGCTTGGTCGGTCTTGGGTGGTGACAACTCTCTGATAGCACTGAAAAGGTTCTGCCTTTACTTAAGAAGACCCTGCTTTCTCGCTTTTATTGCCTCAAACTTAATGCATGCATCGCGCTCAAGATCCACATGAAGCCAGCAAGATTCACTCGGTACGAGTTTGTGGAACTTATTTACACACGGAAATGATGTACACCGGTTTGCGGCCATAACCGCCAACAACAGGAACAAACAGGTAAGTCTCTCTCACTGTCTCCCTCTCTCTATCTCTATATCTACTGCTTTCAGGTCTTGTGACCCCTCTCCGAATGTCCTCGCTCACTCTCTCCCTCTCCCAGTTAAGGCACCCCATCAACTATCTTCCTTACCTGGCTGTGTGGACACTTCCAGGGTCTTGGGCACACAATAACACTGCAGCGTTCCGCACAGCCTGCATCGGAGAAGAGGAAGATCCTGGCTGTGGCTTTCCTTTTGGTGCCTGCAGGTACCTCCCTCGTGCCTCGTCTTCGGTCCTGTCGGGCCTTGCTGCAGCCGATAAAGATTCGGGCCATCCTAGGCCCTTTCTGGGACTGAGCTGTGACTTGACCGGGACTTCACAGGTAGTGGATCGCTGCCTACCGACCACTAGGGACTTCTACTGCTCCTTCGGGCCTTGTCCTATCGTATCGCTATTTTGTGTACAGTACCTACCAGAACGCTCTACTTTTGGCCCTATGATAAAAAAGGAAATGGGATGCAGTACCCGAGGTTCTGCGGCATGTGAAATTGTGAATCCTTTCAATAAGACCTGAATCTGACTTTCTGAACACGTTGCTACTAGTCCGTTCTGTTTTAAATTTTAATCGCATAAATCCTTGTAAGGTTCTTGACCTGCGCCGTATTCCCAGGCCGATTCCCCCCTTCCCGATGCATGTGGCACAGGTCATCTGGCCAGGTGTGGTCCTGATTGAGTACCTTAACAAATACCATCGAGTCAAATCGCCTTCTTTGCTGATGGAGCTGCTGGGAAATTCTTTGCTGTAACTGCTTTGTATTGCTGATCTAGCAGGAGTCTAAGCACTCACATCAGTCAGAGAGAGCATTACTTGCTATAGCAGGCAGCGGTGGTGCTGGCGGTTTGGGTGGGCAAATTGTTGCCACATCAGGTGGGAACCCGCCTTCAGCAGCAGGTGAGCGGCCATTCGGGTGCCCATTTGAAGGATGCGGGAAGAGGTATATACACGAGTATAAACTCAACTTGCACCTCAGGAAAGAGCATGCCCAGGATGTGGGTGACATGATGATGGATGACAGTGGGGGAACCCGTGCAAGGGGCTCAAATCCAGATCATCCCGCTGATGCCAACAGGGGAGGTATGCTGGAAATCGGTTACGATGACAACCCAAACCACCACGAAGGCGGCTATGGTGGGTATAGCGAAGCTGAGGATGATGACGGGAGTGATCTAGGTGAAATGCAACTCAGAGGAGATGTGAATCTTGGACATAATGGTGGGGACGACAGGCCAGTCCATGCACACTTAGGACAGAAGCAGCCGAGAGACAACATACACCATGTCGACCTCAACGAGCGTCAGCTCATCACGGAGTATGGATACCGGCTTTCTGATGCAGAGAGGGAGGATAGTGAGGAGACAGAAGAGGAGGAGAGGGAAGAGTTTGATGGTGATCATGAGATGGTAGAGAGGGAGTACGAGGATGTTGTAGAGGAGGAGGATGATGAAGAGACGGAGGAGGAAATGGACTAGCCCGCCGCGTGAGCTCACATGGTAGGACGAAGATCAACTGCAGGTTTCACTCTCGGTTCCTTGTGCATAAGGATATATATTCGCCACAGGTAGAGAATGCGGGTGAATGCAGTGCTAAGAAGCAATGAAGTCATGGTTACAGCGCCTACTTGCAAAGCTGAGGTTAGAGAAGCCGCAAGTGGATCGTGTACTTGTTTACTCAGACGCAATGGTTGGATGGGTGCAAGGCATGCGTCGTTAAAGAAGAAGCAGACATCCCAACATGGTCGTGATGAGAGTGGTGGCGATGCGTGGAGCTGATGGATGGCATCCAGTACTGTGGTGAGCAGACTCATCGGGCAGTAGACGCAGCGCAAGAAGCGACGGAGATGGGAAGCAAAGTTATTGAGGGGCTGGTTTCCATGCGATCTACCAAAGCAGATATCACAACATGGTGGTGATGAGAGTGGTGGCGATGTGTGGAGATCATCGATGTCATCTAGTACTGTGATGAGAAGACTTGTCAGGCAGTAAATGAAGCACAAGAAGCGACGGAGGCGATGTGTGGAGACGTTGAACGATGTCATCTAGTACTGTGATAAGAAGACTCGTCGGGCAGTGAACGCAGCTCAAGAAGCGACGGAGGCGATGTGTGGAGACGGTGGATGGCATCTTGTACTGTGGTGAGAAGACTCATCCGGCAGTAGATGCAGCGCAAGAAGCGACGGAGATCGGGAGCAAAGCTTCTTGAGGGGATGGTTTCCATGCGATCTACAAAAGCAGATATCACAACATGGTGGTGATGAGAGTGGTGGCGATGTGTGGAGACGATCGATGGCATCTAGTCCCTGGGATGAGAAGACTCGTCAGGCAGCACAAAAAGCGATGGAGGCAATGTGTGGAGACGATGGACGGCATCTAGTACTGTGGTGAGAAGATGCAGCGCAAGAAGCGATGGAGATGGGGAGGAAAGCTTCTTGAGGGGATGGTTCCCATCCTATCTACCATGTGGTCTGTGGTGGATGTTATCCGAAGTTCTTAGCTCGGCATTTCAATCCCGTCCACAGCAGACTGTCTAGACTACAAGGCACCCATTCCCTTTGCCTACTTTTAATTACGCATTGATTGCGTAGTAGTTTTCTTAACGCGCAGTATCCGTGCTAGTTTCTTAATCTCTGTCCATGAAATCCATTTTTATAATTGTGGCTGATTTGATGAATGGTCCACTCAGCTCACTGTACAATAAGGGTGCTCCAGCTTGAATGGTTGTGAGTGAGTGGCAGATTGAACAGGGCAACAGATTCACAGGAAATGGGTATCATCATCATATCCACCGAAAGGTGGCACTGCTGTTGTGCATTGTGATTTACGTCTCCTTTTTTCCCCCTCTGCTGCGTGGTAAAACCAAGGCCCATATATGTTCATAAGCGTATTCAACATATGCCTTTAGGTGCAGAGAGTCTGTCTGTTCCTGCTTCGGTGGCAAGGGCGTGGGTTCAAATCCCACAGCTGTCACCAAAGAAAAGAAGAATGCCACTGGTCGTAAAATTGCAGCGAGGCTGCAGAGTGATAAACCCACAACTCCTCGCTTCAAACATTGTCAGTCATATATGATATACCTTCATTCAGCCGCTAAAACTCAGCATTCCGGCCAACGGAGTATGAAATGTTCCAAGGAGTAAGAAATGTACCTTATCAATCAGTCGCTGAAACTTGTCGTTCGGCTCCGAGGAGTGCGAAGCAAGCTAAATCAGTCGTGAGCCCTGGCTTGAACCATGTCTCTGAAAATAAATCAGTACACAATATGCCGTGAGGCAATATCACAGATCGAGATCTGTAACGTGAAACAAGACGGGAAGTGGCACTGCTTGAAAATGACCATAATCCTCAAGAGTTGTAGTCTACATGGTTTGAAATCTGCTCCTACGATGGAACTCTTCGCCTTGAAAATGCATATATATATGTAGTATTATTATATATGAGATAGGTTCCCTGTATGTCTTCTCTTTCCAAGTCTTTCGTGATGATAGTGTTGATGTAAGAAGATCACATCTGGAGCTGCAGTACGCAGTTCCCTTTGTCCTCTCTTTTGTGCTGATAGTGTTGATGAGCCATGCTAGCAGAGTGGAATGTTACCACATGCCCGACCTGGGCGAAAAATATATATAGCCCCTTGTTTCTTGTCCTCTTCTCCCTCTCTGCCTAAAGATTCCCGGGCAGCTCTGTTTGACGATATATATATATATATATAGTCACAACACAGAATACTTGTCCTGTCCCCCCATGCACTCGCTTTCGTCCTTCAATTCGCACCATTCATGAATGACCTCCTCACAAACCCTTGGCTAGCACAACGGTTACTTCGTCTTGTCTCAGCACTGCTTTGCAAGGTGTGATCTCTACTCTTCGTGAGAAAGACACTGAGCTCTATCAACAGGAAGGTGTTCGACGGTGCTGGATCGTCCCGAGTGTCGATGAGGTGGCGATTGACCTGAAAAACAATGTGTCCTTTGTACGTGGCCTCTCTCCTCGCACGGTTGATTTCACCACAATGTACACCAACCTTCCTCATGACCGCATTCTGAATAATGTGGCAAAGGCTGTTGATGAAGCTCATGCTTATGCCCTTCAGCATACCCTCATGCATTCACGCTGCAGAGCCTTGACACATGTTTATTCGCGGGCCTTGCTCTGGCCAATGGACAACCGATTCAGGACCAGACAGCCTTTCTGTTTCTCAGATTCTCCAACATCTTCGCTTTGTTGTAGAAAACACTTTTCTGTACACTAAATATGGTACTCTTCGAAAGCAAATCATTGGTATTCCAATGGGAACAAATGCTGGCCCAGAAATCTCCAATCTAATGCTCTATTGGGATGAAGCACGCTTTATTGATGACATTCGTCAACGTAATCCCCAAGCTGCTCAGCGATATGCCTTCACTTATCGCCTCATTGATGATGTTCTTTCATGGAGGCAATTACCTCCTCCTTCAGAGCATTATGGGCTCGAGTGGAAGGAAACTACGGCTACAGATGGCTCGTGTACCTTTTTAGGTATGCATCTACGGGTACGTTCTGATGGTTCGCTTCGCATGAGCGTGTTTGATAAAGCGGCTGATTGGGATTTCCCTGTTATTCGCTATCCAAGTGCTACCTCCAACATCCCTTCCCATCAACCGGCCGGTGTGTTCACTGGGCAATTGACCAGATTTGAACGCATCTGCAATAATTGGCAGGACTTCCGAACTGCAGCGACAACACTCACTCGTCGCATGCTTTCTCGTGGCCATTCCCCACCAACCCTCGCTAAAGGATGGACCTGCTACACACGCTTCCGCCAACGCCGCTATCCTACATACGTCACCCGTCTCTCTCAGTGGTTCCGACGCATGTTGCGATGGTCCTTGCATCACCCACTTTCTTCTTTATCCCCACATCGCTCTCGTCCTGTCACTGCTTGTTCATCTGCTGCTAATGCAGTTCCCACTGTTGCGGTTCCCACCGCCGCCGCTTCCACTGTTGTGGTCTCCACTGCTGCAGTTTCTACTGCTGCTGTTTCAACCCCGGGTTTCACTCCGACAGTTTCTGCTATGGAAGTTGCCTTCGCTGCGGTCCCTGCTACGGAAGTTGCCTCTGCTGCGGTTCCTGCTACAACAGTTGTCTCTGCTGCGGTTTCACTTTTTACCACTGCGGTTCCTGCTATAACAGTTGTCTTTGCTGCGGTTCCACTTTTTACCACTTCCTCTGCTTTTGTAGCTCGAACTTCTCATGCTATAGTTTTTACTGGTATAGCTTCCTCTACCCCAGCCCGACACTCGCGTCCTATGTTCCGACATCCTGCCCAATCCACCCCCCTTTCATCCCTTTCTGTGCTTGGCCGCAGACGGCTGCGTTCATCCTCGCCACCCCCATCTCCTYCACGGTCTCGTTTGAGAACCGGTTCTCCGGTTTCTATTCTTCCCATTCTTCCGCCTTAATTATCAGTGACATCCTCATCTTCTGTTAGAAACATTGTCACTCCTCTTATTGTGTATCATCGTCAACGACATGCACAACATCGCCACTTGGCCAGGGATCAGCGGCCTGCTTCTTTGTCTACCCCAATTTTCTYTGTGCCTCCTCCACAGGTTGTTGTAGTTTCGTTGTCCCAAACGGATACATCCGCTCCTATGCCTCCTGCAGACAGTCCAATTGCTTGCACACAGCCACAACACCATGTTTTATGCCCTTCCATGTTTGTTTGTCCCCCAGCTGTACAACATGCGGCCCCGAACGCTGAGGGCATGGAACATGATCAGCTCGGACTGCATTTAACCCCGCAAGGCATAGACCACATGGGGGATTTGCAAATGGCTGACCAGGATCATATGGATGAACCGCTTACTTGTGCCCCACCCTGTGTGGCCCCGAACGCTGAGGGACTGGAACATGATCCGCCTGGACTGCATTTAATCCCGCAAGGCATAGACCACACGGGAGATTTGCAAATGGCTGACCAGGATCATATGGATGAACCGCTTACTTGTGCCCCACCCTGTGTGGCCCCGAACGCTGAGGGACTGGAACATGATCTGCTTGGACTGCATTTAATCCCACATGGCGCAGACCCCACGAGGGATTTGCAAATGGCTGACCAGGATCATGTGGATGAATCGCATACTTGTCCACCACCCTGCACAGACCCCACGGGTGATCTACAAATGGTTGACCAACCAAACCAGTCTGAGATCCTCGCCAATCTCTGTGGTCTGACTGCAACTAATAGCTGCCTTCACATTTTCAATCGCCCGTTGTATACACCATCAGATTTCCTTGCAATTGCCCTACAGCTTGATGTTGATCTCGCTAATCTCGCTGATCCCCCCGACCTACAGCCAGAGCATCGTAATTATACCAAGGAAGGAGGTTTTATCATTGCTGTCCTAGAAATAGTGATGAGGAACCGTCAGCTTGAACTACGCCATGCTCTACCAGGTGAGTTGTTTAATCCTCCATCCCACATCTCTGCCTGCATTGTACTCGGGTCTGGCCATTACATGGCTATTGTACACGCCTTTGACCATTGGGAGGTGTGGAACGACGGTGTCATGGTCCATGCCATGATTGATATTACTGATTTCTTACTTTATGATGTTGTTCTCTTGCCACGTCAAACTGTCCGCAATCTCCTTTATGTCGAAGATCATTCCTCTGGCACCGTAGTGCAGCAGTACAATGTACACACACTATGTGACCTTCTCCTTTGTACAGCCACAGACACTGTTGCACTTGGGTGTACTCGCCATCATCTTTGTCACAATCACTACCATGAGATGGTTTCTGCATCCATGTGTGTACAGGATTGTCCCTCCGTTCCTGACTGCAAGCACCCTCCTCATCCGGACACCATATGTCAATTTTGTGGTCACGGACGCTATGCTGAATGCATGCTCTTTTATGGGGGGCGTTCTTCCTTTATTCTGGCCTGTAATAGACATGCTATTTGTGAGAAATGTATGGTTGGCATGATTAATGTCAATCGTCGTAGCAGTTATTGTTTTGAGAATGCTCAGTTAGGTCTTCCATGCGCTCATCCACCCCATCCTTACAATGTGTGTCCTTTCTGTCGTCAAGGACAGCCTCATTCTTGAGCTTTTTCTTKCCCTTTCCTTTGCCCTCTTCCTCATTCTACACTCCGTATTTTCCCTCTTCCATTCTTTGTTTGTCCTCTCTCTGTCTCTTTTCCCTGTGTTTAACACCTTCCCCTTCACTCTGGCTCTCTCATAGCGTGCAAGTGGGTTGTTATGGCATACGGGGATGGGGGCAGCTCGCGCTCAACTTCATCAACGTGGCGAGCCTTGCACGTGAGAGGCACAGCGGAGGTGGAGTTCAAAGAAGAATGAGAAATTTAATGGTTTCAATCTGCCCTTGCTTTTTGTTTTTGTTTTTGTTTTTATTTTTGCAATGTGCCCGTTTTTTGTTTTTGTTATTCTTTGTTTCACAAAGTGCGCTCTTTTAGTTTGTAGTTATGTGACAATATATGACGATATATAT